TTTAGATTTAATGATTGAATGTGAAGTGGAAGAGAGTAAAGAATCGAGGGCTATCCCACTCCATTCCTTGATTGACTGGAGAAGGCAGTTAGACTATCACTGAGAGGATGACCCTAGGTGGAGAAGAAGGCATGAGGAGATGTTTATAAAACTGTTCTTTGTCTCCTAGAAGAAAGTACAGCCTTTCTTCCTGGTCTAGGATTGCAAGTTTTCTTTCTCACAAACACTTCCCCTTACTGACTTCCCTATTCCCATAAGTAACAGCGTCTTTCTCTTCATCACCTTCCTTCAACCTCTGAATAATTTCTGCCTCATCAGCATCTCTTTCTTCCCCAGGAAGAACTCTCCATCTTATACAGTGGATTCTTTCTTCAGGAACTGGGTAAGAGCACTGGTTGGAGGCAAATTCAGAGATTTTAACTGAAGATGTGGCTGTCACATTTACTGACTGTCAGTCTTGAGCAAATGACTTCCCATCTCATTTTCCTCCTTACAGTAAGGTGATAATGACTCCTCCTCTCAGGGTTGTTGTGAGGCACCAGTGGGGCTTGAGATATGGAAGGGGTGCAATCTGGGGTGGTCTCATGGGCCAGATGAAGACATTTGGATGTTAAGATGATCACAGTATCAGACTTCACATCAAGGGGTTTATTGAAATCACACCCCACTCCTGATACCAAATGTCTTAGAGTGGGTTCTCTAGAGAAGCAAGATCGGCAAAATGTATAAACATATATATATAGAGATTTATATCAAGGAAATGGCTCACATGGTTGTAGAGGCTGGAACATCCTAAATCCTTGGGTCAGGATAGAGGCTTCTCCTGATACACATAACCACATGTGCTGACGAACCCAAGACTGGCAGGTCAGACAGTAGGGCTCTTGCTCACAGGCTGTGAAGATCAACAAATCCCAGATCAACAGGCAAGACAGCAGGTAAACTGCTTGCTCAAGTCCCAAGAACTGGAAGTCAGATGAACAGGAGCCAGCTGCAGGATCCAGAGTGAGCAAAAGCCCACATGCCTTGTCAGAAAGTCCACTTAT